ACAGGTAGGAGCGGGGGCTCCGCGGCTCCCCGTGGGGTCGGGGCCGCCGCCGCGGTGTCCTCAGCCCCGGGCGCTTGTGTCTCCCGCAGAGAAGCAGCGCGCCTGCCTGCTGCCCCCCGACGACGGCCCTTGCCGCGCCATGGTGCCGCGCTGGTACTACGACAGGTACACGCAGAGCTGCCAGGAGTTCACCTACGGGGGCTGCCTGGGCAACGCCAACAACTTCCTCACCCCCGACGACTGCGAGAAGAGATGCTGGACCATCAAGAGTGAGTCCTGGTCTGCTGAGCCCATCTCCGAGGGGTGTTCGTGGTTTGCAGAGCCCACCTCCGACGGGGCGCCCCGGGCTGCCGAGCCCAGCTCTGACAGGCGTTCTGGGCTGCTGAGCCCAGCACCGACGGGGCACCCCGGGCTGCCACCGCCTGCCGGGTCTGCAGCGCAGGGTGCCAGGGGCAGCAGGCTGTGCTGTCCAAGGGCTCTTCTAGCTCCTAATAATCACTCCTTTGCTTTTGGGCTTGCCCAGAGAGCCATGTTAGAAGAGTCACGGGGGATTTGTTAATGTTTAGATTTTAATCCAATATTGTAAGTAGTTGCTAATTTTTAATGTATTGGGCTTTCAAGGTGTATACCTATCCCATGTTGTTAGAGAGTGGAGGCAGTTGGACTGTATGTAAGCTTGTTTAGTATGGGGAGTGCAAGGGGTGGATTATACTGAGGGTGACATTCTTCTTGTTGCAGAAGTGCCTAAAATCTGCAGGATGGAGGCTGATGTGGGTCCCTGCAGAAGCTACTTCAGAAGATATGCCTTTAACCTGAGCTCCATGAGGTGTGAGGAGTTTGTCTATGGTGGCTGTTATGGAAATGACAACAACTTCAAAGACCTGCAGTCTTGTGTGGACCACTGTCTGCCAGAGAAAAGTAATGGTTGTTCCAAGTTTTTAATAAAATAGAAGGTTTGAAAGTGCTACGAAGATGATATTTTATTTGATATTTTCCTCTGGATCCCCTTACAGCAGTATTTTTGAAGACCTTTGTGAAACAGATGTTTTTATTGTCTGCAGACTTTCATGTGTTGCTTGTCTCAGCTGTCTGTTACTGAAAGAGTAAAAATACTGTGTTAATTCAATATTGTGACCTTAAATATGCTCAAGCTACACCTGACCAGTCTCCTGACTTCTGAAAATGTGTATATGTATAATCTGAAGAGAGATAAGGTCACACATTTTGTTGAGGCAGATGTATGAGGCACTGTGGCTGTCATGTTCAGGGAAGTGAAACAGCATAAAGTGGAAAGTGCCTTTCTAAATTTCAAGGCCGAGTCAGGGATGCTGTTAGGTTGCTGGCTCTCATCAGTTCAACTCCTGACAAAAATTCTTCAGTCATCTGAAGTGACTCTTCACTGTTTCTTTGCCTAAGCTTCATAAAGGAAAAGAAATAGGAATGGTAAGCAGGGGGCTGTATCTAAGCACTGTGATAAAAAACAATTTAATATCCAGTGCAAAATATTGCCTTTGAAGAGAGAGCTGCCAAAATGTGCCAGAACCATCACACTTTATTAGTGCTTAATGAAACAAGTTATTTTTGTTTAGTGACAGATTAGAAACATTTTCTTAGGTGAAAGCTGAATTTTTAGTTTCCTCCTTCCATGTGTGATAAATCAAAAAGGCACTTCCAGCAACAAAGTAAGTTTTTTTTTTTTTTTTTAGAAAAAAGGTAACATGATTCTTGGGAGGAAAATGGTGAGTTTTGTACTTTTTGCTGTGAGACATTTATTTATGGATAGGATTTGCTGTTAAAATGACAGAAAGGATAAGTAAAATGCTACCTTTATCATTTACAGAGGTAGTTCCTTTGGAATCATTATATTCCTGTGTATATGGAATTAGACTTTGGTCCAGATGATTGTTTGAACATCTCGGCTGTCAAGTGTATAGTACCACACATGGGGAAAACTGTTGAATCTCACTTGTGCACTAGTAAAACTATTTTGAGACTGTCACTGTCTGCGAATACATAACTGAGAAAAAAAGATGTAGTGAGTCTCTAAAGTCATTGATATCAATCATGAGATTTCAAAAGGAACAAGAGTGTATCTGCAATATTTGCTGTAGGGTACATTTTAAAAAGCCAAACACAGATATTAGCTAGTTTCTCTCTTTCTCTCGGCTTTTATTTTTTAATTATTATTATTACTTTTTAAGCTGGTCCCTTGCTGTGCTATAGCCCAAAGGATGAAGGATTGTGTTCTTCTTCTGTGACTCGCTATTACTATGACACCAAGAGCAAAACATGTAAGGAGTTCAAATATAGCGGCTGTGGTGGAAATGCCAATAACTTTGTTACTGCAACAGATTGCTACAATGTTTGTAAAAAAGGTAAGCTTTTTGTTTGTTTGTTTCTTTTTTTTTTCAGTCAAAAGCAGACATCCAACCCAAAATACCAGTAACTACAGTTTAGAATGTGCTTTACTCATGCAGATTTTTTATGAATGTCCTTTTTAACATTTATTTTATTTTCATTTTTTGACTCAATATTTTTAAATGGCAGGGAAAACTGAAGAGCAACACTAAATCCTTCTGACAAGAACCATGCAATGTGAGACAGGAAGACCATTCGAGAATAAATTGTAGAGAAGGACACACATCAAAAAAAAAAAAAAGTCTAACTTGAAGCCTAGTTAACTTACTAGAGGTCACAGGAATCAGTTTTCAAACTGTTCAGAACCTGCAAGAATCAAGGTCTCTCTTTCTTCTAGAAAATTTTCAGTAGGAGCAAAATGAGTTGTAAAAATCAATTTACTTTTTCCTTAGCATTTTAAAGCAGTTACTAACTTCTCTTGGTTCCCTGCTGCTTGTTTCCATTTGCCATTCCATTACTAAAGATTTCTGCCTCATCAGTTGTGCTGAATCAACTGTTTGTATGGCACTGGGGAAGGGTGTGAATGATAATAGATTTTTTTTTTAATGGTTTTGTTCAAATCAGCTACAGGCTCTGTTTGTAAGTCAAAACAATTCTGCTTTTGTCTGCAACAATATGTTCATACCAGCTAGTCCCAAGCTTAATACTCTAGTTTAATTAAGTTGATATGTAAATTAAAGAGAGAGACAACCATGTCGATCCAGGAATACCCAGATATTTTTTGTAAGAAACAACAAAATATTAGAAAATTGAGCTAAAAAGGTAGAAAAAAATGAGCTTGCATTTTTGGAAAGAAAAAGCAAAAATCAAATCCATTTTAATGAACGTAAAAAATGGGATATGCTCTGCTAATGGAGTATTTAACACGTATAGTAAAAAGATTTAGGCAAAGAAGTGTGGAAGTAGCAGCCCAGTTCTTCAGCTTTGGAGCTGAAAGACAATGACCTGAGAACATCAACATGGCTGTGATTTCATCCCAAGCACAGTCCTCAGAAGTAAAAATACTCTCTGCCACTTACTCATGGCAGCAGTATTTGTGGGCAGTGAGCCCATGTGTCTCTGCCATTCTAGTATTTTAATGGAGTCTTTAATGTCACACAAGCTCTACCTGAGATTCTTGTGATCAGCTTATTTGCATCTCTAGCTTCCTGGACGATGGTGGGACCAGGCTCGAGCTCGGCATGCAGAGAAGGAAGGGAGTTACCTCACTAGCATCTTGCCCTCATGCTTTGTCCCTGCACATGCATGGCCACAGCCACTCTAACAGCTCTTTTTTTTTTTTTTTCCTGTGGAAGAAAGATGAAGTGAAGAAATAATTGTCTCATAACTAGAGCAATAGAGGCAAAATATATAGGGTTGGCTATAAGCTTTTCCACTAATCTGTGAATTTCAAAATTCAGTAGGGCTTGGTCAACCAAAGCCCATAGTTAATGGCATAATTAGTGCTAATTAATGTTGAGCTATTCATATTCATTTCTTTAACTTGGGTGCGTCCAGCAACATTAAATAGATCTTTAAGGCAACTTAAGCTGCTCCTCCTCTTCTGCTCCTATATTTCTCATCCCTAATATCTTTCCTGTTACCTTTTTGAGCCTACAGTTGAATTCAGTCGACCTTCCTTGTGCAAATATGTTTGAACTGACTAAAGTTTTTTTTGAGCGAGCAAGTATGATTCATTTAAGTACAAAAAATAGAAAAGAAAATAAACAAGCTTAATGCATAGGAGTTGTGGTGATAATAAAAGGATTGGGAGTTGCCTGTAAGGGCTATGCATGTAAGCAAATAGGTAATGTTACAGGTCTAAAGAAAAAGACTCAGTCTTGCAAAGAACTTGTATCCTGAACTGTTTCATGTGACCTTCATACATTCATGCTGAAATGACCCTTACTGCTGTTTCTGACCACTCTACAGCTTCTATGTGAAACACAGTTCTGAGCAGGGGCCTAAATCATTTTTTCCCTTCATCTACCATGGATGTATTTTAAACTTTGCACCCATCTTTTGCAAAGAAATGTAGTAATGTCCTCTTTTCTCTTTCCTCTTTCACATATGGAAGGGTCTTGACTTCCATCCTGCTATCACACTAGGACAGATAGAAAGACTAGGATTCTTGTTCAGGGAAAGAAGAGCAAAGTAAATGTTCAGTGCCAAAGGCGGGCATATTAGAAAGCTTGTATGTGAGAGCCCAGAAAATATTTTACAACTTCTGATACAGTTGTTATTATCCACTCAACTGATTGAATAATGTAATAAGGAAAGAAAAAAAATAGCCATTAGCCATTTGATCATACTGTTTCCCTAACCGCTTCCTTTATTTTTGCAGCAGGGAATCAGAAACCAAGGATCAACAAGCCAACAAATCTACCCCGCAGAAGAATGATGAGAAAACTGGTTAAAAAAACGCAGAAATATAACCTGAAGTCCTAAAGCTGGTGTGCATCCAAATGTTTAAACATCTTCTTTTGAATTAACTTTCTTCTTTTGTAATATAGTTTCCACAGTTTTATCAACAAATAGTTCTGTCTTGCAGAACTGGTTTTTTCGTAACTTACTTCTTAGAAAGAACTGCATTTAATAGAAGAAGAATGAAATTAAATTTCATTTTCCCACTCTGTTGTATTTGCAGTAATACTTTGGTAAAAAACAAATATTTAGATTTCCATGTTTTTATGGGGGAATATAACTGCCTTTGGAGTGTATTTCAGCTGTTATAAATCAATTAAGATTTGAAAATATCGATTGTATATCTATATGGATTTTATGGATCTATATGTATCTATAATCTATATGGAATTTTTTTGGCATTTTCTGCTCGTTAAAGAAATTTAACCTTCCAAAGGTGTATGCAGACGTTTATAGCTCTGCCATTAAATATACTTCGGCATTATCATATGAGTAGACTATTCTTTATAGTCAAGTTCATGGAAATAGAGATACTCTGACAAATACTTTGACGAAGACAATCAATCAGCTACTTAACTATTTACAATGTAAATATAGGCATCGCTTTTTTCATGATATCTGAAATTCCCACAACATTGTACTCCAGACCCTCATCTGGCATGTCAGCAAATTTCTGTTGATTTTAATGGAGCAACAGTGATTTACATCTTCAGAGGATCTTGATATTTGTGTTTATGAGGGTCTGTTAAAGAAGAAAAGAAGAGCAGAAGCTTTTGCAAATCTAATGTTATCCCTCTTTTGAGGCATTATAATTCTTGTGTTAGACTATGCCTCCTGTGATAATATTGCACTTTTTAATTTTTTTGTAGTTGAGCCATATTTTAATTCCTATTATTTTTACCTACAATATTTTCTATTATGGTTTCAAAAAAACAATATTAAAATGTTTTGGGGAAAAATTAAAGCTTGTTCTGCCATGTGATTTTATTAAGTATTCTGAATTAGTTGCATAGATCAATATATTTAATGATAATTATTATTTTCTTATAACAGTGAGGGTGACAGAGCACTGGAACAGGCTGCCCAGAGAGGTTGTGGAGTTTCCTTCTCTGGAGATCTTCCAAACCCACTTGGATGCAGTCCTGTGCCACATGCTCTAGGTGACCCTGCGGGTGCAGGGGGGTTGGACTAGATGATCTCTAGAGGTTCCTTTCAACCTTAAGCATTCTATGATTCTAGGATTCTATGATTATGACTCTAGCAGAGTTTAGTTGTCTCTTCAGTCACTTCCCTCCACTGAAGTTTAATGATTTAAACAAATTCAGTGAATTGCATCAATTTCATTCATTCCCAGCAGTTATGACTCAGCTAGCTCCAGTAGGAGTTGTTCTTGAGGAATGTTTAATCAAGTTGATTTTCTGCTGCTGGGTCTCCTGTTCGATCTGAGTAGCATTTGTAAAGTTGGCCTGCTTATGCATAACCAATTACATCTGCAGCATTTCTGCTTAGAACTGCAGCTATCTCTCTGACAATCAAAGTTTAATATGTCTTATTTCTATTTCATTAATATAGCCCCTGCCATTACATTATCTTAGTATCATTTCTGTTTATTGAGATGAATACAAAGGCTTCTTGCTTCTAAGTGAGTGAGATTTGCTTGATATTGCATTAGCTTTTAGGTTAAAATTTTCAGTTGTGTGTCTCATCCCCATGTCAGAGAGGGAACAAGATGGGAAAACTACTCAAGATTTTTCTTACTTATTTTTCCCCTCAAGCATGGAGTTGCAATTAAAGCAGTCAGCTGTCCTTGCCCTAGTCTTCCTAGAGATAGTCTTTGGTTCAAAAAGACCAGGAAAAATCTCAGAAAAAAAAATAAAGAAAGAAATAACAGACCCTGATGTATTGTTGCGCCTTTCTGACTAGGCTCATGCACACGAGCCCATTCCAGGAGTCATAGTCCAATTTAAATGCTGTTTTTAACTAGGCAGGGTTGCCATCTTTTTACAGTATCAAACTGTGTGATTTGTGTGATATAGTCTCTGTAAACAAGTTTGAGAAAAACACTATAACTTATCTGTGTCTGTATTTGACTAGAATGCTTTTACTGGAGTATTTTGGGGCCAGATGTGAAAGTGGATCAGAGATTTAAAGGGACATTTGGGGAGAATATGGAAATTGAACTCCCCAAATTTGAGAACAATTCCATCTTTCTTTACTTTTCCGTTAAAGCATTTCCTAGGTACCTGGTCACACATAAGAAAGCCTGGGTAATTGGATACCAGCTAGCATCTAAATCTGTGCAGGATCCAAGAACTTGATGTTCATATGCTTGTTCCACCTCACGGGCTCAGTGGGAACACTTTTTTATGGACCAAACTCCCTCCAGAATGCAGCAGTGGCCACTATTCTAATGTCTCTTATAATGTGGCTGCCCCACATGCTTTCTCTTTTCTTGTATAAAAGCATCATCTAAGGACTTGTTGCTAGGGCACTCGGTGAAACATCAGAGGCCTGATTTTGAATCCCTTATCTACCTACCTGACAACAAACAGGAATTTAGGATAAAAAAACACTATAATTCTTGCAGGGTTCCCTAATGACAATGTTCTGGAAGACTGAGGGGATAAAAGAGGGACGCAGGGGTTTTTCCCAAACTCTTGCCAAGTTATTCCACATTGTGTAATTTTTCCTTCTCTCCAGGTAAACACTTTAATCTCTTATTTTGTATACAATGAATTTTAGCTGTTACTGTTTAGCTGCCTTGGTTAATGTTCTTCAGTTACTCTAATGTCCTTTCAGACTCCTGTGGCTTTGACTAATCTAAATAATTCTCTATCATCTGCGACATTTTATATGACTCATCACTTACTTCCTTTTTCAGTTTGCTGGTGAAAGAACAGTGGCCCAAGGTTGGGTCAACTCTTAGCATTTTGCCGTGCTGAAAATTAATGTGGCCCACACCATCCTGCAAATTAACCTTTATTATAGTAGCCAGTGTCCAGCAACTGGTATAGTGTGTCACAGTGCAAATTTCCATTGCATAGGAGCGAAGCAGTGATTATAATCAGCAGGGTGCATCTTGTCTTTCATAGGTAAATGGCCACTGGCTTGCATGGGACAGTCAAACCTGATGCTGAACAGCAATTGGTGAAAGAACTAGATTTTGCTAAATTCCATAACAAATAGGTCATTGTTCTGTAATTTTCATTTCTATTGTATTTCCAAGGAATATATCAAAGACTCTATAAAAATGAAAATATAAATTGCTACTTCATCCTAAATCTGTGGCACCACTCAGGGAATTCAAGAACAATCTCATATTACTTTGTAAACTATTTCAAGAGTAAGAAAATGGCTTCTTCTTTCTTTATATTTTAGTGGAATTTAAAGCTTCATAAAAAGAAAAGAAGAAAATCCATGCGGAAACACCAGACCATGACTTTTTTTCTCTTTCTTTCTTTCTTTCTTTCTTTCTTTCTTTCTTTCTTTCTTTCTTTCTTTCTTTCTTTCTTTCTTTTTTCTTACCCACAAGCTTAATGCTGGCAAGCAGAATTTTTTAGAATTTTGTTTCAGCATATCTCCTTGTAATAATGACCAATACTCTGACGCTAATAAATGACTTTCTCTTAATTCCATACTTTAGGAGCAAAATGTCATTCAGTTCAGATTGTATTCCCTGAGTCAAATTTCTAACTGCTTTCCTATTTCTATTGATTCCCGTCATCTTCAAAGGTGGAAAATGTGGAACATTTTACTAAACAATCTTTTGTTAGACACAAAGGTCCACATTAAAAAAAAAAAAAAGCCAATGTACTTGAGTTTTGCAACACATATGGAAGATTTGGTCCTTAAGCTTCAAGGTCACCTGTACTGCTGTGGACAGTTATTCAATGATCCAGATAGTGGTAAGAAATCTGTTCTACTAGATATATTCAATCTAACTATGAGGATGTAAATCTGGAGGAACCACATTGCAGTTATGTCAGATGAAATATTATGTATTTACATTAGTGTTATTGAAAGAAAATTCTCCCTCATTATCTTTTTAGAAAGCTTTAAATTATTACATGTAACTATTACTGGTGATAATTAGCACAGCAATTCTTGCGTCTGTTGAAGTGAGCCTAATTTTTCAGTGTATGGTGGTCCTGTAATTTCTGTCATCTGAGAAGTTATTTAATTGCTGAGGAGAGGGGTGTTAATCATAGCATATACAGCCTAATGAACAGCAGTGATATTAAAAAATTCCATGTAAACAAGAAGTAAAAAACCATAGTTTGAGGCATTAGGCAAGTGATGTGATCATGAGCTGTGACTTCCAAAATTAATGCCAGAGATACGAGCATTCTCAGCTCGTGTATTCAAAAAAGAGAGAGATCATCTGGACAAGTCGAAGACTGATTTATGTAATGTAAAACATTTTATCCATTATGTGTGAATAAAATTTGTCCCTTTTAATAAAGATTCCCTCTGTACTGGCAACACTGACAGTAATTCCGTGTGAATATTGACATAATGGGCACTCTTTGAGACACAGTTTATTGGGTCCTTAACTCTTGTGTGTGAAGGGTTCTAAATACAAATGGAACTCGACATTGTTCACATTTTCTTGCCTGGTGGGGCCTAGCTTCAAGCTGATAAACGCACAGAGAAGATACTAGCCCTAATAATTTTGTATGCTAGATCCTTAGTAAAGGCCTTGACATACTAAATATGGGTTGAATTGTTTCATATATCCTCAGGTTGAATTGTAACTTATTGCTCAGTGAGCTTTCTTGGAGGTAAGATACTGCTCGCTGAGCAAGTGTGCAGACTCTTTTCTAATGAGATAGTGCAGGGTTAATGTTTTTAAGGTCTGGTGTATGAAATGGAATAATAAAACTCCAAGTAATTAATAAATGCATATGAACACTATTTGCTTTGAGGTATTTTCCTCTATGTGTGGGAAGCAAGATGAAGAGGATATATTATACTAATAAAAGTTATTTAAGAAGTCAAGTGATCAAAGATTAAAAAGGTCATTATCAAACCAGGATCATGCTTGCCATCATAATAGTCAATAGGGAGAAATCTTGAATGTTCCTGATGTTTAATAAGAATCCATTA